GAATTCGATATAAGAGTAGGCCGTAGTGCCACTGTCGGGCAAAAGTTTCCCTTATAGCTCACTGTATGGCGTATGCCCGTCTTCATAAGCCCAGTTCGGAGCAGAACAGTAGGACGTTAAACCCCATTTCATTTCATTTCCCATCCGCACAATGCGATTTCACGCCCCCTAGAGAGTGTCCCCGGGTCGGAACACAGTCCTGGCCGAGAAAACCCATCCGGATTTTTGACGCTAGGTTCTGACTTGGCAGGGGTGTCGCGTGGGAAAAGCATACTTGGTGGTTTTGGCAAAATTCCCGTGCCCCCAATCAATAAAGTTAGAATTGATTTGTATTTAACCTATGACATGTAGGATTCTTTAAAGATGCATTATGTAAGATGTAGATACCGAACTTTCCGTTCTTGCTATTACAGTTCAAAAATAGACAATGCAAACTTAATATATTGAGCATTTCTTTCAAATTACTTTATTCTGAGCGAAGTTATCAATGTTTGGAAGTTTGCCATTGATTGTTTATTATTGTAACAATGGTACTTGTTATTCGAGACTTAGCCCCGCTTCTCCATCTTTAAATTAAATCATTAAATAGCCAACGCGTTATCATCTACATGCATCGGAGCCATCTGATGGGCTAGAGATAAGATTATGGGTTTGTCATGTTATTAAATGTTTAAATAATAGTATATAACATTTCGAGCCAATTTAATAAAGACCCGCAATAGGCAGATTTAGCTCTTACATAATGCATTTTTCCACTTCGATGTGTAAATAAATGATGGAGATATTACCAGTCTGGAAATGGCTATGTATTCGCAAATTATAGAAAGAATGAAAGAAATGGGGTTTAACGTCCTACTTATCTACTCCAACTAAGTTAATGAAGACGGGAATACGCCCTGGCGTGTGCTATCGGGAAAATTTGTCCCAGACACCGATTGAATTCTAACTGTCATGGGTCATTTTACGTGCACACCAAAGTGTACACGGAACCTCGTGGTCGTTTGTCCCATCCGAGCAACTAGACGTCTTCCTGGCCACGCCAGAAAATGCCGAGGAAAGTTCGGGTTAGCCAGCCAGCGCCTTACTCACTGAGCTACACCCCACCCCACCCCCACCCCCTCACAAGAATTAGATGAACTAATAAATGATAATGTACATCATTTATAACCCTCCTTCCCCATTACACAAATTTCGGACGACCTCATATTATGGTATTATCTGTATCACGGAAGGCAACTTTCTACGTGTATTTACAAAAGTGTCTGTTAATGTCCATGGCGCCGCGGCTTAATTAGTTAGACCATCATCTAGCCATAAATAGTCCCAGCAAATACCCGTTGGTGCTGTGACTCGAAAGTACAAACACACCTGGATAACCAAGTTTATATTTGTGACAATCCAATATAAAGGCTGGACGATCCAACAATTTGTTTATTTCTGTGTGGGCGGATAGATGAAGTACACACATATTAATGACGTGTAAGTAGGCCAGACAGTACTAAAGTACTATGGTTGATTTTGGCCGATGGGGCTATAAAATCAGTACGCTACAGATGGTCAAGTTGGATTCACAAACAGGGTGTCACGACCTCGAACAGCGATGCTCAGATGGAAGGGGTAGCGTGTACGGAAACGTCACTTTCTGGGCAAGAGTCTCTCGATTGCAATACAGGAATACGCCGTTTTGGCATGGTCGCGAGGACAAATTGCGATTGGAATTTGATTAAGAAGAGAAAGCAGAAAATATTCCCATCCGACGGCTCACATAACCTCCATCATTTTGTCTTTCAATTGAAAATTGATAGGATGATTATGAACGCGGTATTTATTCCTTCCTGGCGAATAGACGTACTCGGCCCACACTCCGGGACAAAAACTTTCTAGGACGAGTGTTCTAACGACACAACAACCCAGGCCCCAACACGGACAGTTGCTATTGACGTGCTAAAGTAATTTACTACCACAGAAGGAGTTTGTTAGTAATTTAACTTGTAAAGTATGTGAAAGTGAAATGTTTTTAGGTACTTGTTTATTTACCCTAAACATTGAAATATTTCCTACTTTACCACGTAGGTGTTGTGGCGAATTGTTAACGCCAAGTGAATGAACCGTAATTAGGTTTAACACCAAATTGGGTCATTTGAGACCAATGTAGGGTAATTTTAATAAGAATAGTAGAATTGTTCTCGGCCCGGGACGCTTCAACCTACCTGTCTTCGACTTCCAAGGGATCTTTTACGTACATTTTATAACATATATTTCTTTGGTATGTAGACATACACTATAGCTAATTCTGTTACTAGAGGTGTGAAGCTCGAATAAAATAAAAATAAACTCATTAAGAAATCATTATCTATGCGTGACAAAAGTGATGTTACGTTGCAAGTTAAACCATTAATTTTATCAAGCTGAATTTCTGCGTTGCCAACCACTCGATCATAGGTTATTGACCGTATATACCAAATACGCCAACCTTCTATTTTGGTGGTTTTCGGGTTTAAAGTGTTACCTTGTCCACCTACGTTCGCTGTATAACTGGTAGGATCTTAACACATGTGTGTTATTTAGTGGGAAGGATGGGTGTCACTTATTGCGTTTAGTTAAATAATTACAAGACAATTAAAAACCTGACGAGTGGAAGTCTAAATCACGAGATTTAATTAACGACCAGGTTTATAATGTAATTGACACCATCGTGTATCTACAGACAGGCCTGTTTCTAAGATCGTAGCGGTCTTTGATATAATTAAAGTGGCTGTTCGAACATCACCAAACAATGAGATATCTTTAATTTTCAACATAAATGTTTAAAATAACATGCCTTTCTTTTCTTTTATCTGGGTCAAAAACTAAAATTGTCGATTTCATTCGAAGTTCTAGAAAAAGTACACCTTGACTCGTGCACCTCAATAATCAGTGCTTAGCTTAAAGGTGGCTAAGTGGGTAGGACACTGGCTCGCTAGCCCGGTGGTAGCGGGTTCGATCCCTGCATAGGCCGAGAAAGTTCATCAGGATTTTCCGACGTGGTTCCCCTGGCAAGGACGGCTGTCTAGTCGTTCGGATGGGACAAACAACTGTAGTCCCGTGTATACATTGGCGAGCACGTAAAAGATCCATTGGTAGTTGGAACATTTCCAACATAGTACAGTGTATGGCGTATTTTATGGCGTATGTCCGTCTTCAGTAGCCCAGTTGGGGCAGAACAGTAGGACGTGAACGATAACACAACATTATCCCTGTATACCAGTCTGTTCAACGTAAAGGAACATAGATATGAAACGTGACTTTACGTCCCAATTTTCTGCACCGACTGGGCTAAAGAGGGGGGTTGGATGGCTGAATGGTTAGCGTGTGCGCGCTGTATGATAAAGTCTGTCATTGAGTCGACTGGCGTGGTTTCGAATCCCCGGTTGTACGTGGCAAGGAGTTGGGTCGCCTGTCCAACCTCGTGGGTTTTCTCCGGGTCCTCCGGTTTCCTCCCACTGCTAAAGACCCCTACGCGCAAGCGAATTATGTAAATAAAATTAAACCATATGTTAGTCCCGAAATGACCTAGTTTGTGTCGAGTGGACGTTAAACCCCATTTCTCTCTTTCTCTCTGGGCTAAAGAAGACGAGCATACGCCATGCAATGAGCTATGTGTGAAATTTTGCCCGGACAGCGGCACTACAGTCTATTCTTATATCGAATTCCAACTGTCAAGGGTTCGCGTACGCCACTGTGTACACGGGACCTCGTTTTTTCCAAAATCCGAATGACTAGACAGCTGTCATGCACCACTGACAAGGAGAAACCACGAAGGAAAATCCCGACGAACTGTCTCGGTCAACACCGAGGCAGCGTCTTACTCACTTAGTCACCGCGGCTCCTTATTTCCTTAAACTGGGTTGCTGAATTGTAACTGGGTCATTTTGGGACTAACATATTTATTTTGATATTTGGAAGGGGTCTTTAGATATGGTGGGAAAATAAATACTCAGAGATGGAAGCCCGAGATCGAACCCCCACTTGCATAGCTACCATACATTGTGGTCTACATTCGGCACATTAAGCCACTCAGACCCCCTTAACTGAACTACGAATATGGGTTACATCAGTGTTACCTACAAAACCCTGTTTGGGCCGTTCACATACCCATTACATCTTGTGTATGAAGATGACTACACAGTATTGTCAGACTGGTATAAGCATGTCGAGATTCAAATGAATCGATGTGTTATACAAGAACCCAATATGCAAACGAGATTTTCTTCAACATTAAAAATTGCATGTTAATAAGTTATTTAAAGTTATAATCAACTGACAACATTCGAAAAACACATAGAACATTAGGTCAACTTTGAGGGGGTTGGGGTTGGTTTCCCCTTGTCAGTGATGCAGGACGGAGGGCCTGACAAGGACAGCTGTCTAGTCGTTCGGATGGGACGATAACCGAGGTCCCGTGTACAAATTGGCGTGCACGTAAAAGATCCCTTGACAGTTGGAATTCGATATAAGAGTAGGCCGTAGCGCCGCTGCCCGGGCAAAATGTCCCTCATAGCACACTGTATGGCGTATGCCCGTCTTCATTAGAACAGTTTAAGAGCAAAACAGTAGGACGTTAAACCCCTTTTCATTTCATTCTTGAGGGGGGTAACTATTTAAATACAACCCCAAAAGGGTCAGGTCAAGATTTGTAATCCCAAGAAACCTTCATTAAATTAATCAATAAAAAGATTAATGTTGAATTCCGTATGTCTTCACATCCATTCTCTTTAAGGTTTTAAACATACTATTGATTGTTCCGATATTTTTTTCTTCCTTCATTTTTTTTTTTCTCGCAAAACAGCCCCAAATCGTTTTAGTCAATAAAGGCTGGTTAGTAAGCAATGTAATTTTCACCATGCCGATGTCTATATTTTATTTACATACCGCTTTCAACTTACACGAAAACTTACAAACATTTTTTTTACAAGGAAACTTGTCTTAAAAGGTCTTCCGAGATACCGATCTTCCCAGTCACTCTACTGACTTCTCTTACTGACTCTCCATAAGATAACGGCAGCCATAATTGGAACTTGCGTCATCAGTCCAGGTAATTATCGGTTTTGTTATTTCATCAGAAAGAACAGGGTTTCCTTCAGGTAAGAAGGTGTTTTGGGATAACGGTTATATGATCTTTATTTTCGACTATTAAACGGTAGAATATTTTATGGTTTTCCTTTAAACGGACTGAACCTCTTTGAATTATATAAAAAAAAAGTTTACACGAGTTAGCAGGTGTGTTATTAGGAATTGGACTAGCGCAATCTTGAAGACAAAGTAAATTATTTAGATTTGGTCTATTAGATTAGTATTCGTTTCGAAATATTATGCAGAGTTCAGGTTGTTTACTAATCCAAGTTTCGTTGTTGGCTTAAACTTTCGCCCGTTGAATACGGAATTAGTTACATATATAGCTCAACATTGGTTATATCTATCTGTGAACATACCATGTTAAATTGAAGAACGATATCCACTTTGATACATGTATATAAACGAAAGCGAACATCCTCTTAATTAACCAGACTTGATCTAATCGAATTATCTGCAAACATAAAATATGCACAGTTTTCTCAGATGTCGAATTGATTGCGTGACGGGCCAGAATATCAGGAAAAGATAACCATATCTCATACAATATCTTGATAGCACCCAGTTTAGATTTTTTTCCGACAATAGGGTTTAGATCTGAAAAGTTAAACAAATGTATTTAATTTTGGAAGACGTTCTTGGGGGAAGGAAGGGGGGGGGGGGTATCTTAAACAGATCTCCGAATTTACACCAATCCAAAATCCAGAGAGGTAGTTTTTGGTCGAGGCTAGAAATTGCATTAATTCACAAAACAAAGATTATTGCCCGTTTTATTGATTGCAGTATGTAGGGTGTGTGTGTGGGGGGGGGGGGCAGGATTTGCATAGATACATATAAACATAGTTAGCTGGAGGTGGGGATTGGGCAAGGTTTTTGGGGCATTAGTAGCGGATTCTTAAATGTAGAGCATAAAATCATTAAGTTTATAGCCCAGGGTGAGCGTCGACGATAGGCGTATTTGTTGTACGTATTGCGGAAGTAACACTGCATGTTATTAAGGGTAAATTGCCGTCATTTAGCGGATATTGAACTCTTTCCAAAACACGATAGTCACGCAAAAAATGCCCTGAATAATAAAAAAGGAGAATTATGTAAAATTAAACATGGTGTAGATATATTATTATTGACAGACGATAAACAGTTCCTCGTTTCACTGTTTGATGACAAATGGCGAGAAGCATGGTCCTGCCTATTTATACAATATTAAATCTGTCTACTATAAAAATATACCGCCAATTTTATATATCCTCTGTCATTGATACCGGCATTACAACAAAGGTAGGATATCAAACATGTTATTACCCATTTGAAACAAAATCTACTGAAATTAGAAATATATTTACTTATTTTTTTTATAGATGTACCGAATATGTTTTATACTAGCTTTGTGACATCCATAAAAAAACACGAGTATCATTAATTGCCAATTTCACAATTTAAAGAAAAGAAATGTACCAAATACAAAAATAACCATTATAATTCTTGTAAAAATCAGGAACCTGTTTCACGAAATTTTAATTAAGATAAAATCCAAATTTTAGTAATTTAGTAATTTAGATTGATTTTAGTGCTTAGCCAATCAAAATTAAAATATTGGGATTTTATCTTTAATTAAGATTTCGGAAACAGGACCCTGGTTGTTATGGAGTTATTATGGCTTGCTTGAGCATTTTTTGTTTGTTTTGCGGCCAATCGGAACATGGATAAAATATAATAGGTTGTCCACAAAATATGTGAAAATAGAGGCAGACTGTTAGCTCACAGGTACTAGCTCTTCTTTATCCTGTAAAGTACAGATGCTTCTTATCTACCCATCTGGGGGTCGAAAATCATGAACCCAGTGGTGTCGCCACATTACAACCCCCGGTCCCCGTTTGTGTGAAATATTTTTAAAGCTGTCTGTGAAAGGGACTGAGATTCACTATATCGTGAATGTAACGTAGGCAATAAAAATCTTGAAACCAGTGAGGAAACCAGACGATTACCACAGGATACTGTTTGAAACGTGCAAGTTTTCATAACCGCAATACATAATCAAACGAATGGAATTCTTAAGAATCGAATGCGTGGACCCCAAATTGGGATCTTGGATTGTCGTATAATGTACTACATCAAATAGTTGTTTTTGATTATTAATATAGGTTTTCCCCAGGATGAACAACATGACGCGACTAAAAATGCAGCTCGTTTTCTTTTGTACACTGGTAGCCGTAACTGTAGGTATGTTTTTTTTTTTTTTGTTTTTTTTTTTTTTTCTAATGATATAATAATATATAGATTGATGACAAATGTAAACTATCGATACTGTGTTGGTATAGTCCTACAGAGATATTAATATATTTATACTATGGAATTAAAATATATTATGGTATCGATACTTCGGTATTGAAGTATCAATATTACGGTATTGGTATATATAAAACTGCCGGTAGTTTTTTCTTTGATGCGCATAGAAGTTATATCTCATATCACCCTGTCATGAAATCTTCATAGGTTGATATATACGGTTTATATCAACCGCTGATGACGTTGGTGATCGAAATAATACAAAGAACACAGAAATCAATTTTTATTCTTTTGATAATCAGTTTGTAGAATTCAGTACCGAAATAGACGACGTACTTATCGGCATATTTACATCGGTTATCCATGTCTAAGATATCTTTCAGAATGTCCTTTTCGGCCACATGTCGATTATTTCTCCACATACTCCAAGACTTAATAGCCCAAGAGTTCCTTTGTAACGTAGTTTTAGGTACAGCCACTTAACACAGTCGGCCAAAAACTTCTCTGAACATACGAAAAAAAAACCCCAAGGGTCACTGTAAGAATTATCGGAAAAGATTGCCTTTTGATTCAAATTTTCTTCAGCCTTTTGATAGAACCTCGTCGGAATTTGCATTCACATCTATTCCATCGTCAATCTGTTGGCTAAAACGGATTGATTGTTCGTCTGATAACGTATTGCTATCCATTTTGTTTTTGCTTTCAATTCAATTGAACCTATAGTTACTCCAAAATGGCGACGTATAAACAATAACATGCACGTACATTCACGTGATTACTTTGGTCATTTTCGTTAAATGGCGGAAACTATCGAGCAATTATCCAATCATTGTTGACTTTTAATGGATTAAATTTAAGGGTGAGTAAAACTATGGCGTTGTATATGTCGGATATACCCCCCCCCCCTCCCTCGGAAGCCCAAGCGTTCGCTATCATATCAACCCCGGCTAGGTTAATATCCTATACATATACGCTTGTATTAAGAAAATGGTTTATACTATGGTATTAATATATTGATGATATTTTATTGATACATTGGTATTATGGTGTTGATATATTGAATAATTATAAATATGATACCATTACAGGCCAGAAGAAGATGTTCTGTTATTATAACGCCGAAGCTCAGTATCGGCCTGGTATTGGTAGATTTGTTCCATCTGATATCGACCCTACACTTTGTACGCATATTGTCTATAGTTTCGCTAATGTATCGGGTCTTGAATTAACGGATGTTAACAGTAATGATAGAACGCCCGGTGGTAAGTATGCAACGTTTATGGCGGAAAGGGGTCATCATTAAATTCCATGACATTACGACAAGATTTGACTAAAGAGCTACTGTAGATGATTAGTCATAAATAGCATTTATGGTCCTTAATTGGGAACAATCAAATGTAAAGGCAGTGATATAACATGAAACCAAATTTTTAAAATATACAAACTCAAAAATCGAGTTCAAAGGCACCTTTTATTTTATATTTCAGGTCTTTACGAACAAACAATTGCCCTAAAACAAAAGAATCCGGATTTAAAGATTCTCTTGGCCGTCGGCGGCTGGGAAATTGGCTCTGAACCTTTTAAGGAATTAGCCTCAACTTGGCAAAACAGGAACACTTTCTCAAAGAATGTTGTGAAATATTTACGCCAGTATGGTTTTGATGGCTTAGATATGGACTGGGAATTCCCAGGTACACGTGGTAGTCCACCAGAAGATAAATATAAGTTTACGGATCTGATGAGGGTAAGTTAGATATGTGAATACTACTTGAATACATTGACCAGTCACACCGATTGTTATTGTTTTTGAATTTCAATTGTTAGCGCCCATTTGCCAGCAAAGTTCTGCCTAGTTGTTCAGGCGGTACTAGAAACTATCCCGATACAGAGTAGGTAGAGCCACCGAATTCTTCCCCTAACATTATATACGTGATTTTAGATAGATAAGTGTGTATATATACATGAATAACCAATAGTCATTTGGAATTTTATTTTACCAGAAAGTTAGGATAGATTGTGCCCCTCTGATATCGTTTTTTAGTGGTCACCACTTGGCGGGTGCCAAGTCGTTAAGTCTATTTGATTTTGGAGGAAAGGAAGATACATGAATTGATTTGATAAGATCAATGTTGACCCTTAAGCTTACCTCGGCATTTACTCACAATCTGACGTGAACTGTCGACGGGTAAGAAGTAGAGTGGGACGTCTCACTGACATACCGGATTTACTTCTGCCCTACCGATGGATTGTAGCATTAACAACCCTTATATCTTATTTATTAAAGCAACTTCAGAACCAATTTACACAAGAAGCAGCTGCTACCGGAAATGACAAATTATTGCTAACTCTAGCTACAGCTTCCGGTACATATTACATCAACCAATCATACCAACCTAAAGAACTCATTTCGTAAGTCTGGGTGTGTGGGATATTATTTAATATGATCTACACACCGGGGCAATGCAAATATTAATAAACCAGAAATTTCAGTCAACACAAATTCCAGTAATTTCGAGATAACTGATAATTTTGGCAGTGAATCATCCTGCTATTCCCCCGATTCTGTCTGAAAACTAAATATCCGACGTAATTCAAACGTTATGTATATGGCGATCATGGAGAATTGCACGTCAATGCAATATTCAACACATTTTTGGGGGGCTGGAATGCTAGTATATCAATCTATTTAAAACTTGAGTTGATCACAGCAACATAATATGGCCTTTTCATTGGTTGAGGATTCAAATTTTAGTATAAGTTATAGATCTTAGCCAATGATTAGCAGGCTTTCTTAAAATATGTTTTGTTTTTAATTGATTTTATTTGTAGAACTCTGGACTACATGTTGCTTATGACGTACAATTACCATGGAGGTTGGGAGAATACAACAGGACATCACACGGGTCTCTGGCCTAACAGCATTGATAAACCTGGGGAGAGGCGAGAACTTAACATTGTGAGTTATATATTAAGGAACATGAGGACATGATACTTCTAACGTATTCATTTTTGTATTGAAAAGTAAATGGGGTTGTTTTTAAATTGAATTTAGAAAACATATAAATTATTGCAACCTAATTAACTGTGCCAGTAATCATTTATCGACCAGGCGAAATTCCACTGCTGACTCATTTCTCAATTGATATTGTGCAGATCGAAGTAGAAACGATAAAATGGATAATGGAGTTATTTCCCTTTAACACTGTAATACAATTTCTGTAATAAACAGGCCACTTTATTTATATACAGAGGTGTGTCCATGAATTTGAGCAACGAGGGTCCCATGGTGAAGACATTAGGTCGGGGAAACTACCCGTGAATTTGATCAAATCAGAGGCTTTGAGATAATATGTCTTCTCATTTTGCTGCATATATATACAGAATTACCGTGGAGTCTGCCAAAACGGCGTTTTTTCCATGAATGTAGGAGAAAAATAAAAATTCTGTCATGTCGACACAGGACTTTTTGAGAATAAAATGTACTTGGATTATAACGTGTGCATTGTGATAAACTTGATGACTGAGCAGAAACTTTTCGTTATGCTCCTCTTCAAATTCTGACTGAAAAGAGATCTTTCTGGTTGGTACACTACCCTTTTGTAAATGGGACCTAATATTTTTCAATTTATTCGAATGTTTAGACATAATGCCCTTGTCATCTCCACCTTCGTCGACCCTGACAACCGAACTTGAAGTATATCCAAGGATCTTCTCGACCTACCGTAGGAATCGAACTGGGAACAGTTTGATTATGTTGTTTTCATTTGATTTTGGGGATCACGTGGCTAAGTGGGTAAGACGCTGGCTCGCTAGCCTGAAAGTCGGGTGTTCGATCCCTGCATTGGCCGAGAAAGTTCATCCCGATTTTCCGGTGTGGTTTCCCCTTGTCAGTGATGCAGGACGGAGGGCCTGACAAGGACAGCTGTCTAGTCAATCGGATGAGACGAAAAATCGAGGTCCCGTGTACACATTGGCGTGCACGTAAAAGATCACTTGGCAGTTAGAATTCGATATAAGAGTAGGCCGTAGCGCCGATGCCCGGGCAAAATTTCCCTCATAGCACACTGTATGGCGTATGCCCGTCTTCATTAGCCCAGGTTAGGAGCAGTAGGACGTTAAACCGCATTTCATTTCATTTCATTTCATTTTTGTTATGTTTTTTTTACCAGGATTGGTCAGTGGATTATTGGTTAGATAAAGGCATGCCTAAAGATCGTCTTATTATGGGTTTAAGTTCGTATGGAATGAGTTACACGCTCAACTTCACCAATCAGAACGGCGTGGGTGCCCCGGCTAAAGGCAACGGCAAAGTTGGCACATATACTAATGAACAGGGTATCCTCGCGTACTACGAAGTATGTACACATTTCTTTATTTAATAAGGAGTGGTAACGAGGGGAACGTTAGGGACGATTTCCATGTTATAGGGAATTGCTACTAAACTGTAGCTTCCCAATCAGGATGTAATACATATTGGCGTCCACAAGACCTAATTCAGCATTAACCAAGTGTTGTTTATTTACATGTATATATTGTCTCGTTATATTTTATATTTTATCATTACTTGATAATGACTAGAGAAGCACATTTAAACGTCGCTCAGTAATAAGCAGTAATTGTATTCTATAAAATTGTGACCTATATATTCCTGTTCAATTACTAAATACCATTCAAACAATTTAAGAAATTATTCCACTAATAATTATTTAAATTACTAAACGTATATACTTTGGATAATGAAATGTATTTAAGTGGAAATTATTCCACTAATAATTATTTAAATTCTGTTCCACGTTTGGGTTTTGTCTTGGTTTAGTTTCTTGGGACAGATCTAAAGTACACAATGGCAGCCTCAAGCGTCGTGAACATAACAATCTATGGATTTCAACATAATGTGAATGTGACACTGTTTTAAATGACTAGACATCTTTGGCTTTGGGTAAAAATACAAATTCTTGATTTGATATAATTTAATTTGTTGATATGCTTTCTGAACTGGGTATAGGTTTACATTTACAATTTAAGTCCATAGATAGAGCCAGCCAATGTTGTGTTTTAGCCGATTTTGTGCCCCACTGTCAACAGTGTGAGCCAACGAGTAAACCATGTGAAAACAACCAAAACAATACTAATTTCGAAACGAAAATTTAAGAGTAGCACTTATATTTTGAGCTAGATCAAGTGAAATACATGTTCAGATGTATATAAAAGGGGCTAATATACGTTTTGATTTTATTGCTAGATTTGTGAGAACTTGAAGTATAAAGGTTGGAATCAACGCTATATAGCAGAACAAGATTCACCATATGCGTTTGGTGGAGATCAGTGGGTTGGTTATGATAATCAAGACAGTCTGGCCATCAAGGTACACTATCGCGATTCAACCTTTTAAAAGAAATGTCTAAATTTTAATTTCTCCAATTGCGTAAAGAACATGTAGCCGATCAGTATTTGTGTCTTACAGTATCTGAAGTTTTTTGTCTTGTTCATCCTGCAAGACGAACATTGAGCATATTATGGTAACGTTTATTTCCATGCAAAGCGATGCAGTCGAATGTTGCACAGCGCAGTGGTGTTTATTTCTACTCTTTGTCCATTACTAGCCCCAGAGGGATTCATTTTGCAGGTCAATGTTTCTTTTCTGGAACCGCAGTCTTTTCAACCCAACCTCCGACAGGAATTTTAGGTTGTGTGTTGGGCAATTCTCTTGAGATTCCCTATCATAACCGGCATATGTACATAAGATTTGCAAAATACTGAAAGGCCAAAATTTAAGGAGGACTGGCAAATCATTCCAGGCAATTGCTTTACCTATTTTGCCCCACCACAGGTTAACTTTTTATCTGATGTCCGCCCACCGTGCGTCTGCACGGCCCATCATTTATGCTGGAAGTTCACAAGTTTGTTTGTCCACCAAATTGTGAAACCGTGGAATATGTATGTCTTTACAGGCTCAATACGCTAAACAAAAAGATTTGGGTGGTGCCATGTTGTGGTCTGTAGAAACAGATGATTTTAAGGGAACCTGTGGCGAAGGTCTGTATCCATTACTGAAGAGAGTCAACGGCATCATCAGAGATGGTCAAACCGGAAGTAGTGGTACTCAAGGTAACATAGACTGTTTTAATTGCTACTAACTATGAAATGTGTTCGTTGCGATTCGGGTTCCAGTTGAGAGACACTTTCGTCGTTGAGAGTTGAGGTAGATGCATGATTTCTCTGAATTTATATGTCTTTTAGGATTAATCGTACTATAATATACTTTGTGATGCGTCGGTGTCCTATTAAAGTAGTCAGTGGTGCAGTACACACAGCTTTGTATCTTTGCACATGTTCTCGAAGTAGTCTCCCTTTGATTTGATCATAGTCTACGTAATATGTGAAATGAATCATTTCTTCTACAAGTTTTCATCCGGCGTTTATCGTTGTGGGTTTCGTACCTGTCATATTACTTTTTTTTACCTCATTTTCTTATGTTTGTCACAGGTTTAGATCCTGTTTTTGATTCTTCTATCCCGTTTTCTTTCCATGTTAGTTCCTTTAATTTTCCATCTTGTTTTAATTTGTGTCTTTATGTTTTGGTTTTGTTTAATTATTGTTTTTATTTTTCGTTGTGTCTTTATTTCTTGGTTTTGCTAGTTTTCCATCTTAATTTTGTTTGTGTCTTTATCCCTTGATGTTAAATATCTTATGGCGTTTGTGTTTTTATCTCTTAGTGTTGTTATTTTATCTTATTTTTTTAGTGTGTGGTTAACTATTTCTGTTTAATTTTCATCATGTTTTCGGTTGTGTCCTTTTCTTGTCTTGCTGTGTTATTCAACGTTACGATTAAAATCGCCTTTAACCAATTTCATATTATGATTAGGATATGCGGTTCACAACGTAATCATTTGGGCCAATATGTACCTGATAAATGTATAGCGGAGAATGCGGTGGCAAAAATAAAGCGCTTCGCAGTTCCCGTCTGTGTATAGGCGTTGATCCAATATCTTCAAAGGCTATGTTGCCAAATTCGTTCTGCTCGTTTATTTCTGCAGTTCATCAAAATCTGTTCTTTAGCTTGCCCTCTTTATACGGCCTAATACCTTGCCAAGGCATGAGTTTATAATACCAGGTTTATCAATCCATGGCTTGAAAAGATAACAGGCCCCATAAAGAGTACAAGTTATTCAGCGTTACGATTAAAACCAAGGGTTTATAAACCCATGGCTTGGAAAGATAACAGGCCTTACAAAGAGCACAAACTAAACAACATATTTTGTTGAACTACAAAAAAAACCAGCCGGATAGTCTATCTAACCTCGATGTTTATATCCAGATATTCCGTTTGCCCCCACTTATAACAAACCTGCGCGCAAATGAATTACTGAATTTAAAAAATGCCATGTTAGTTCCGAAATTAACTGGTTCTGTCGTGGTGCCGTTAAGCCCCATTCGCACTACTAGTTAGGACTGGTCGACTTTGTTTATATTTTACCTGTCGCAATTGCGTGTCTTCTATTTATTGTCCAAAAACATGCCCAATATTTTAAATATTACGGTTTACTTATTTTTGTAGATAATTACTCCAAACAAGGCTTACATGAAGATAATGAATATCATATATAATCGTCTTAGACGATAATATCATGCCTTGCCATGGCATAATTATAATCACATCGGTGCATTTACTTTCCTTGCCTATTTTCTATCCTGCTATTTCAAATTTTTACAGAGCTTTATATTCTAAATATATTTAGATTCCTGATCTAACTTCCTGTACTTTCGATTAATTTTCGTTAATTGTTTCTACCTGTTGAATTTAATTAAGTACCCTTACAGTTGTCGCTTTCGCTTAGTCTGAAAAAGAAAATCGCCTTTAAGACCCCCTGGTGGTTGGAAATTAAAAGAAGATTAGGCTGCAGTGCCACTGTAACCCCATGTACACATTGGCATGTATGTAAAAGATCACCGAAAGGTCTAATTTGACGAGGCATCGCATACCTGCTCATAGAAAAACACAATGTAATATCTTTTGTAACATCTAATAATAGTATGTATGCAAATAAACGTGAAAATCACTATAAAAAGACTATGTGAAGTTCTGGTTCTACATATCGTAAAACAATAGTTTAATTGTAATAATGAGTTTATTTGTAGAATGTAATAATCCTCACAATATCAATAATATTTACTGTAGAATACAATTTTTTAATAACAAACTTATTCTATAAGGAAGCGGTTAGTTTACACTATAAGTTTGCGTGCAATAATTCGCTTCGTGATGTGTATTTGGTCGATTTCTTTATTTACGTCTTTAGTCTGTGTTGAATAATGTTACCACGTGGCAAACATACAATACTTTGATTCAGTTGCTGCTGCCAATTCATTTCATTTATGTGTACATTACGTGACATTCACCTTGATAGACTGGTATAAAATAGAAACAGAAGTAGTTTCGTTTGTCATACCTGGATATAATGGAATATAGTATATAACTTTTTTCCCTCGATAACTTATCTTTCATTTATTAATAAATCTATAACATGTGATCATTGAGAATCCGAGAAAATAGTTAATTATTATAATGACATAAATTAATGGTACTATTATATAAACGACTGGTTGATGAAGACTGAAGACTAAGAGTATAAAATGACTTGAGTTATTTAAAGAAAAGAAGAAAAAAACAACCCAAAACCGCGTTTTATGTATATTGATATTTCTCAAGTAACATGGATTGTTGAATGCATACAAGTAGATGCCAAACTCTTCAACAATAGAAACACAAACAAACATGTACAATAACATTCTTTAATATATGTCATGGCCTTGACGATGGCAAACAATCTTACAGCATTTGCAAATCGTATCGATTTAAGGCAGAGATCACCAAACTTTGTTCATGTTGTGCCAGATATAAATGAAAGAATGCCGAGCGCGGGGCGGATAAATATTTTGTCCAATACAATACACTGAATACAGAATAGATGATTGTACAGACTGTACACAAAAGTGAGGATAGTCATTCTATTTATTTATCAATACATAAATAAAATAAAACCAAGTACGAACAATCCAAACCATTAGACAAAATTCGAAGTCCTAAAAAAACGGTATAGGCAAAATAGTGTAATAAGGCAAAATAGTGTAATCAGCATATGGACTGTTCACCGTGTACAAAATACACGACAAACAGTGGTAACAGGTGTCCGGAAGAGTAAGCTTACCCTGCCTGGCGCCACACCCGCCATAGCTGCATCCAAACTATTAGGAGAAATCTCGGTAAAATAGCGTGATTGGCCAATAGACTATCGGTATGCAAAATGCACGTGATGAACAGTGTTAACGATGTAGTAGACAGACATAATCAGGGAGATTGTATAAGCGTCAATTAAATATTTCTAGAATAATAGCCGAGAGAGACATGTTATATTTACCAATCAAGTCAATATGACGCCCATAAAACTTTTTAAAGGTTTTAATAAGTTTAGTTCGCAAGTATCCCTGTAGTTGAAGCTTAGATGACAAATGCCTCGATCTACTTAAAAAAATCAGAATAAAACGAACAATCTCTCGCGTAACGAATTAGTTGAGACACAAACACTCCATAAGCTGGTGATATTGGAATGTTACTACTAATAAATGGAAAGTTAACAATCGGAAAGTCAAAGTCATCACGTTTATCGTACAATTTAACACTAAGTTTATGGCAATTGTCAAAATCGAGACGCAGATCCAAGTAGGAAGCGTAAATGTCACTGTCAGTAGTGTTTTTAATTTCGAGCTCATCAGGATATATGAATTCTACATAATTACTAAATTTTGGATTATTCAGTGATAGAACATCATCGATATATCGATAAGTGAAATTAAAATGTCTGACTAATCGTTTATTTGATTTTACGAGTGCCTGTATGTAATCGGCTTCTTAGGAATAGAGAAACAAATCAGCAAGCAAAGGTGCACAGTTGGTGCCCATGGGGATACCGACCACTTGCTGATAAATTTCCCCTCCAAATTCACAAAAGATATTATCAATTAAAAAATCCAACATCTGAATTATCTTCTTGGCGGTGAATTTATTTTTGGAATCACTATGGTTCTTAACAAAATATGTGGAGTTGTAATTAACAACTAAATATTGATATCTAACATTTCCCGATTTAGATGAAAAGACACTGTGAATAATGTCTTTTAACCGGGCTTTTAATTTACTATGGGGAATTTTAGTGTACAAAGTAGAAAAGTCAAACGTCTGTATAGATGAGATTGAAGCAAGTGATCTAGATTGTAAACCATCAAGTAATTCTTTGGAATTTTTTAAAATCCACATTTGATTAAAACCACTACGAGAGTATATTTTGTCACAGTATTTTTGAATACCCTCTTTCACTGCCGTTAGTATAGATGTCAATACTTTTGAAAGTGGTTTTGTGGAACAACGGGATGAACCTGCTATAAAACGTTGCTTGTAGGGATTTTTATGTAGTTTAGGTATCCAATATAACAAGGGCAGATCTGTATAGGTATCTCCACATGGAGTACCAAATGAAGTGGGTACAGATCTGTGATTGGATATAATTTCATCCTTACTAAGCGTAGAGCGTTTATACGTAGCACTGTCGATTGATTTCCCGTAATTAAGTTCTTTGAACAGACAGTCATAATAATATCGTTTACATATAAACACTAAGTTATTGGACGCTTTGTCAGCCGGTACAATGACATACTTGTCATGTAAGGCGTTGAGATTTTCAACAATGCTAACATCATTGAAAATAGATTTAGGCCTATTATCAACTAACAAACGTTGCATATAAATTCTTCGTTCAAGTAAACGACTGATAGACTTAGTCCAATCTGAGAGAGTATCAGAGATAACATCTTCCCTCTTGGCCCATGATCTGGCGTAGTCCTCTACGGCATCCATAATAAGTTTGAAATTTTGATCCCATGAAAATGGTTAGGGTTCCCGGTATTTGGGTCCTTTAGACAAAATCTCACGTAACTTATTATTCTGGACTATGTTTAAATCACATATACACAAAATAATATAAGCAATAAAATATTTTAATCTTACCAAAATGTCACCAAGTTAGAATATTTATACAAAGGTTAGGATGTAATAACGACATGCGTTATGTAAGAAGTGTAAGAAGCTAAAACATTTTTATACGCCCACATTTTCATGTCTTAACGCCTCGATTTTAAATACGATAATTTATATCTATTTTAGGTAGGATTATATTCTTAATTGTAGTTGGATTTGGCAGAAATATCATATATAATTATAATCAATCGTCGTTTTGATGAAAAATATTGTCAATTTTGCTTACTGAAGTCCGATATGATTTGCGTTGGGTTTTGCTACGTGGAACTATATAGCACCATCTCTTATCTCGAAATACGGAGGGTTGAGGGATGAAGTTTGTTATCTGCACGCTTCGCGCGATGCTTTACACCTTTGCTCTATATTAGTTTAGCTGGGCGCAGCATCCCCCATAAAGCTTATCTGAGGGACATTGCCGTGTACCGAACGTACCATTTCATGGACAGTACTTATCTTTTGTTCTTCATATATATGTACCTCGAAATGAGATATGCTAACGAAATAATTATGAAATAATTATTTCAGATGCATTGCCTTATTGGCGATGTAGCCGATTGTGTGTTAGTAAATTAGTAAACTTCTGGTTGATAATTTAAGCGTATTGACTTTGCCATATCAATGGTATGGCTTTAGCTCACAAGTCAGGTCTCGGGTTCGATGCCGATGTTGGTCGAGAAGGTTTCTAGGAATTATCCAATCTGGTTTTCCCGTATTCGTGGTGCAGGAGGGAGGAAATGTGTCTGAACTTTCGGATGGGACGTAGCTTACTCTTTGACATGCACGCAAAATAAGCCATGATAGTCGGAACTCGATTAAGAGTAGGTGTAAAAGCCGCTGCCCTGACACAATATGCTTCATAGCAAGCTGCAAATCGTATGGTCATACTCTATTTTAACTAATCAAAATGTTTGGCTCCTTTAAGTCTGTCTTTCAAAAGTTTAGGATGATTGTAGTAGTTCAAATTGGTGGTTGTATCGTTAAAACAATGCACATGACTGCTCTTTTTACAGCACAGTGCATTTGAAACACGTGCTTGGTAGGAGAATATGACTCGCCCAGCGGCGTTTCCGACTACATTCCATATACTTACATTAAGTTTCGTTATGTGCACAGATTTCTCCCCATCATTACAAATGTGATTATACATCAAATAATATTTTAACTTCATTAAAGAGACCATGTCTTTTTAGACTCAGGGTGTTGGTTAGCACGCGCGCGCTGTATCATAAGGCCTGTCATTGAGTCAACTGGCGTGGTTTCGAATCCCCGGCTGTACGTGACAAGGAGTAGGGTCGCCTGTCAAACCTCTTGGGTTTTCTCCGGGTCCTCCGGTTTCCTCCCACTGCTAAAGACCCCTACGCGCAAGCAAACTATTGAAATAAAATTAAAACCATATGTTAGTCCCGAAATGACCTAGTTTGTGTCGAGTGGACGTTAAACCCCATTTCTCTCTCTCTTTCTTTTTAGACTCAACAAATAAAGAAGTAAGTCCCAACGTTGAATGGTATATATTACGTCAATGATAGAACATGCTAGGTTTAGGATTTTATGGTCTATGAAGCGGTTAATAGCCAAAATGGACTCCGGTCACACCTATCACATAAACAAAAAAGAGACCTATTTCGGTTATTCAAAATATTTACGCGAACCAAAAGATCCGGTTCAAGTTGGTGGCGAATTTGAGTTCAAATATTCGAACATTTTCACGGCCAACAGTGGGGGTTATTCCGTCTATTTAATAACAATATGCATTCTGATTTGTATCCAAACATTTATGTTCTTAGCGACAACAAATGGTGTAAAAATCGTTAACACAAATATCCCTGTTCAAATAAAACTGTGTGCTTTTCACAGGTTAGGTGCGAAATTTAGATAAGATGTTAACATAACCTTAGATGGAAACCCATTCATATCCTTACTGACGACACTGAACTTGACAAGGTCAGTTAAATCAATATAAATCCAAACACAGCATGGCATTGACATTTCATTGGCTGAGTTCACCGAGTACGTTATGCATATTCCATGTCCGAAGCTTATCATTAGTATGATATAACGTTTAATGTCTTGACTGAGTGGTATAAACCACACGCTTTACATCATAAGGCATGTTATCTCTGCAATATATGAATTCGACCCCACGATTGTTTATGGCATGAAGTGGGGTCGCCTGTCTAATCTCGTGTGTGTTTTCTTTTTGGTTACCCCCACCCCACCTCTTTTTGCACCATGTCTAATCTCGTGTATATTTTCTGGGTACTTATGTTGCCACCTCTTTCGCGTACAACACTATCATATGTTCGCCCCGAAAAGGCCTCGTTACAGTTGGACGTCAGGATATTCTAATACAATATAGGACTATATTTTTGGTGCTCAGGTTTCCATTGCGGACTTACAAATTGCTAGGTTATATTGGCGTTAGTATGATATACACATAGTATACATTTCATTAATTCAAACGAAAGTATGGTGCTCTCGCAGTGGAAAAAAAACAAACTACAGTATTAAGAATATGATCGTTATTTGAATATCCAACTTTTCACGACTTAATCCACGCGAAATTATGCCCCAATTGCATATTTTACATTTAATTAAGAAAACAATGCCAACATATCAACGGTGATAACATCTCAGTTTTAAAAGTTTAATTCATCATATCTTTGTCATTTAGTATTGACCTTTTATAATATTGTAGTTTGCAAGTGGTTCAATATCGCTCGAATGACGATCACGGACTTTAAATGTATTTTGATACAATATTCTCAAGAACTGAAAAGAACTTATCCCGTGTCAATATTTTTGCGTTGATTGAATGACTTTTTCTTGTATTTTACAGGCGTTGATTGAATGACTTATTTTATATTTTACAGGATCTGGTGACCGAGGCAACCAAGGGTCGGGTGGTAGAGGTACAGGCGGGTCAGGCGGAAATGTCGGTGGCAGCAATGGTGGGGGAAACTTCGGCGGTGGAAGTAGTGGAGTCGCTGATGGAAATTTTGGAGGCGGAAACAATGGAATTGGTGGTGGAAATGTCGGTGGCGGAAACAATGGAAACAATTGGGGAAATGACGGCGGTGGAAATTATGGAAACAATGGTGGTAGATTTGGCGGTGGTGGTGGTAGTTCCAGCTGTGCCTCTTTAGGTACCGGTGCTCATGCTAACCCATCTAACTGTGCATCTTTCTTTGTGTGTACTGAAACAGATGATGGATATAGACGAGATGAGCTGTACTGTCCTGCTGGTCTTGGTTTTAATGATTTTATCAAGACCTGTGATTGGTCAGATTACTGTTAATAAAATATATTACATCTGATTGTATTCTTGTAAATGAATTGCCAAGGCAGATTATAATAAGGTGTCAAAGAATAACACTTAAATAAGTTACCACCAAAACACAATGAGAATATACCCTTCGCCACCACATCAACACCCTGTGTACAGATAAACACAATAGAGTATTTATCCTTATCGTTAACTCATATAGCTCAATATGTAAATAATTTAGTTGTGTCGGTCTTAATACAGAATAAACTTTTCATTTTCAAACCACAAAATTTAATTAAGTAAAGGATTGATGTAATACATCATATCTCATATAAACACACAACCAGAACCCGGTTTAATGTAAGAAGAAATACCAAAAATCGGATTTTGTGTTATTTGATCAAAATGAGGATTTTAAGTTTAATTATTTTCTACGGACACGTATACAATACTGGGGAAGAATACATGGATGGACCTCGTGTTTGTCCTATCCGAAAGAATATGCACTTTTTCCCTTACGTGGGAAACCAGGCTAAAATATTCCCAGGAACGTGAGTCGGGTTTTTAAAATAAGAAAAGTGCCTTTAACATCCGACTGTCACGGTGCTTTTATTTATAATTAATACGAGATAGACAATGTATTTGTAAACATGGTATGGATTATAGGTTGCTTTATTGGTTTTGGCAAGAGCTCAAGATATTTGAAGCTTGTGGGCTTACACTGAAGAAAGTCCAATACATTTGTACCATCCAAGGTCACATGGAATGAATCCTGACCTAGAAATGTCGTTCATGGTATTCCCATAAAGTCTACTCTAAACTATTTTTACATTAATGTGGATGTACAGGAGTTGTCGGGTAAGGGAATTGCACGAGAGATGGATGGTTTATTTTACCCGAAAGAAAAATTGATCACAGTCACCTGCAACCATACATAAATTGTCTTCAATTAGCAAAGAGTCGGTCTTCACAAGCTCGAAAAGTAGCTAGCCCTTGGGAGGTTATCTTTTAATCCACGAATTATCGTGACCTGAAATATGTGCCCTGTCAAGAGAATGAACGGAACGGAAAAAAAGAACTATATTATTAATTTTAAATGCGCCACACATTAATAAAGACATACATAAAGCATAAACCTTATGCACTATTTAGATAAGCGTCAATTGGCTTAAAGAGGAATTTTCACTTTCACTAATATACAAATATATATACTCTTTAAAAAAAAGTAGGGGATATTCAGAAACAATACAAAACTGCGGAAATGTAGTGCTGTTTTTATTGGAGTTAACCAATGTATGTTAATAACAGGCCAAGTGCCTACACATGAACATAAACAGTTCATATGGGCGGCTTATCTGATGGCCCCGTTTCACTCGCAAAGAGATACACTGTCAAAAGTGAAAATGGACGTTTTTGTTTTTGTCTTAATAATGAGTAATTGCTCCACCGATTATCAGACATTCAGCAATTCGTCGCGGCATGTCCTAATCAACCGTCCATTCACGATTTGGGGAAATCTGACCCACTCCTCTTGCAGTGCCACGGCCAATTCTTGCAGTGTTGTCGGTTCATCTGTGAACAGCAAGCGGCAGTTTTCATCAACCCTCCCTTGAAGTGTCGAATTTGACAATGGACTCCTCCCACTTGTATGGCTCAGTGGTTCTGCCGGGGCGATAAGTTCTTCATCTGTGAACATACTCTCAAAGCATGTCAAGTGTCCATGACTATTTATCATATGACAACCTGCATAGGTATTTTCATTTCAATATCCCCTACTTTTTTTGAAGAGTATATATATATGCCCTTAGAAAAAAATAGACCTACTGAATAAGTCAATTTTACAAAAGTTCGATGCACTCCTCGAAAATTATTATAAATGTGTATGTGTGGCATAAATTTATTAGTAAAACGTCTATGTCAGCGATAGACTGGTCGATTTGTTTCAACTATCAAATGTGGCCCCCATTCCCATCCTTATTATATTTAATATTATTTGTTTACAGACTGGTAAATATCTCAAAAGTGACCACCCCTCTCTTAAAAAGACACATGATTCAAAACAAAGCAACCTACTGTTTAATATGGTCTTATAGTTAGGGGTTACATTTTTAAAGAATCACAGAATTTAATTCTAGATAGTGAAATAAATTTGTTCATTTTATCGCCAGTTTTCTGGCATATGTACTTTCTGAAAAAAAAATCTCGCAATAAATGTCATTAAAAAAACGTTTGTTAAAAACAAGCTGCATGTCAATATCAGCTTGTATACTGAGAACAGGAGGTAAATATAGACTTAAAGTGTTTGCAAGTTCAATATTGAAAACAGTGAACATGTTAGTGTATATAGCGGAACTGTTGACACGTTTTACTGTTTAAATATTAAGACCGGGGTTCACGTGACCTTCAATATTCCCGTAAAATATAGATTACCCTTTCGTGAATATTTTATGATGTTACAGGATTTTTATGAGCCCAAATATTATTTAGGCGGCGGCAAACATTTATTATTAAAATTTATTTGGGTATGCTTGTTTAAGCGGGCACTGGGGTCTTTCAAGTAAGAGTAAGTACCAAAGAGTTATATGTAATTCCGGTTTGTCTAAAATGACATGCATGTTTCTAAAGCATTGCTATACCATATATAGATTGTTGGCATTGGTCTGCTAAGTTATCGCGGGTGTTTCTGAAAGATAAAATGTGCCAAAACAATAGTGTGGTATCGATACTAATATTTCAGAGAGGGAAGACTGCTTGAATTTAAACAAACTGAAAAAATAACGTAATAGTACATACTAAAGTCATGATTGCCTAATTTGAAACACCACTTGTTCAGCAAGTCTCTAGTATTTCGACGATAAAGGTAAAAAAATAGAAAACATGATTGGAATTGTTTGTTGTTCTGTAGTGGTTTGTTGTTTTGTTGACAGAGTTAACAAAATGTCGAAATAACGTGTAGTAGCAAATGATGATGAAGTTCGTTTTGAACTGTTGACAAAGGATTCTATAAATCGCCTGTTTAAATAAATTATTCCCCACTCACAAACACTCCTTTATCGCTTTGGCATTGACCCTGAATTGTGGTCGTAATGACCTCCAATTCCACCACTCTTTCAAACCAAATCTTGTGTTTACTGTTAGCAATACGTATGTTGAATTAAACCATTTTCCTCTTTTGCCAGTCGTTATTTTGTCTGTTAGAGATTACCTAAAACGTTTTTAACAATCAAAGAAGGATTTGTGTAAATAAGAAAACTGATCGTTTAAACTCGACAAATAAACATCCCCATTCCTTTACCATGTAATGTTTTTAATTAATTGATCTTTCCATTAAATTGTCAAGAGTTGCATCGTTAAGGACACACATATGCAACTAGTTGTGTCATGTTTTTTCATGTACCCATGATGATTTTTATCTTAATGAATGAATTTATGGTCCAACTTAATTGGGATTCTTACAGACGTTCCCGTGTCTTATACAACTCTGAATTGGTTCGGTACTAAGATCTTACACTATTATAAAATAAACAGAATGTGTACAATTAGAAAAACAGTTTAACTGGTCTCGCACATTCTAGATATGTATTTAAATTTGTTTACACTCATTCGACATCATCCACTGTGCAGCAAAAGTTCGTTTCTTTACATTTTCATTCTGCTGGCACTTGTTAATGAAATTTAGAAATTGAGACACTGATTGTCACGTCACTAAATACATAACCTTGGACTGTCGCGTTACTGAATACATGACAAGCGATTGTCACGTTAATGGACAATATTTTAGTCTGTTATGTGATAGAACTCGTTAAACACGTTCCAAATATAACTTTAACACAGAGATCATTGCTACGATAGCTGCGTAATGATGGTTTCTACTAAAGGAAGTGACGAATACAGAAGGAAAACACGAATTATCCTTCTATATAGCTTACTGAAGTGACGAATGATAACAGATACACGAGCGAATTTCTGCTCACTAAAATTCCTTCGAAGATCAAAAGTTATGTGAGACTGTGAGTGGATATCTGACATTTCAAAAAAAAAAAATAATAATTCAATGTCACTCGTGTCTAGATAAGAGAACACGAGAAAAATAGAAATAGTCCGTACATTCACTTGTTTTCATTCATTCTTTACTTAATAAAAACATGGTAATGCACACGGACTTTTTCTATATTTTTTCGTTTTCTCCTGTTTTGAATTATCAGATATCCTCTCAGTCTCATATAACAACTTTTGGTCTTCAAGGAATTATTTGTGAGCAGAAATTCGCCCGTGTATCTTTTATCACTCGTCACTTCAGTCAGTTGTACAGAAGGATAACTCGTGTTTTCCTTTGGCGTTCGTCACTTCCGCCTGTAGAAACCTTGATTAAGTATCTATCGTAGCAATGATCTCTGTTTTAAACTTATATTTGGAATGTGTTAAACCAGTTCTATCACATGTGATAATGACTGACACTAATATAGTCCTTTAATGAATACATAACCAGCGAATGTTCCGAAACTAATAACATAACTTTACTGAATACATAACCATCGACTGTCCCGTTACGGAATACATCACCACCAGTACAAAGAGTTAACATTTCAGAAACGTGACAATCGGTTATGTATTCAGTAACGTGACAATCGATAGTTATGTATTCAGTAACGTGACAATCGATAGTTATGTATTTAGTATCACGACTATTTGTGTTATGTGTATTATTAGGTAGTGTCCGCTCCTCACCTCTCTCCAGTTTAGTGGCTATCAAATGTGTTTCCAGGGTGCAGTGACGTGTAGGGAAGGGGGTATATCTAAAATGACTTGCTACGTCACATTTCTCCCAGTGCAATAAATGGTTAGTTTAGACTGATTTGTCCTCTTTCCAGTGGGCAAATTCAAATAAACAGTGCAGGGAGTACAGAATATCATTTTTATACCATGTTTGGCTATATTATCGTTTAATCATTTTACAAAGGTTGTGTAGAACTAATTTTACTTGTGTAATTATTGTGATGTTATTGAAACAAACTCAAAATATGTCAATAAAATTGGGATTATAATACA